ATAACAGAGAACACCTATTAATTGAAATAATAAATATTTAATAACAGTTTATAACAATAATAATTACATTTTTTGAAATTTTTAAGTGCATTATACATTTTCTTATTTATTTACTTATTAAACCAAAAAACAATGTTACTTATTTACCTCGAGTTCGCGTGTGACGTCCGTAGCATGCATGCTCGTTTTTTACACAAACTACAGCTAAGGCCCCACTGAGAGTGATTTGCGTTTTTGCGATATCGTGTAGCGTGTTAGCAAATTAGCGATTTTATCAACAGTATAGAAATAAATATGTAGTGTCCCCACTGACCGCGTGTAGCGTTTTACGATTTTAGCTACACGCGCAAGAATCGCTGAAAAAACAAAATTGTTTGATTTTCGGCGATTAATCGCTGTTAAAATGGTATCATCGTCGGTTCTGGCAGAACAAATTGCTGCTGCTGTATACCTACAAGAACCCATATGGAATCCGAGACACCCAGACCACAGAAATCGAAGCAGTCCTGAGATGTTGTAGGTCTGTTATAGGACAAAACCTTAAAATTGATAAAATTGATGGTAATTTAATTATTTAATGCTATATATTTATGTTTATTAAATTAGTTATTATAAATTATATGTTTTAATACTAGTAATAAAATAAATAAAAATAGAGCTCGGATGTTAATGACCTAAAATGCATTTGAAAATGAATGTAGAAATGAACTCGCGCGACATAAAAAAACGCTTAAGTGTCCCCACCAAAATCACTGGTAGACATCTGGCGTGTAAAATCGCGGAATCGCTCACACGCAAATCGCTTTCAGTGGGGCCTTAGCTTACGACAACTAAAACCAAAAGAATTCATTCAAACTCATCCGAACATAGCTCACCAAGAACGCCATGAAACAAAAATAAAAATAAAAAACTGTTTTTTTCCACAAATCGGTATGAAGTATTATCGCAAGATGATCCTCCGCCCGCACCTCCACCGAATGATAATATAGATTCTATCCAAAATCAAAATCCATCAAGTTCCATCAACACCGAACCTAAAGCACATCGACCACCCCCAATTTTTGTAAGAGGCTCATCCAACTTTCCTGACCTTTGCACTACACTTATCGAATTAATTGGAGTAGATAACTTTTATTGCAAATCGTCAACAGATCGGTTGAAAATAATGACAGCTAATCCTGAATCGTACAGATCACTGGTCCACTTCCTAAGGGACCAAAAGGCCGAATTTCATACTTTCCAACTTAAGGAAGACAAACCAATACGCGTTGTGATTAGGAACCTCCATCCATCCACGCCAACTGAGCTAATCAAATCCGAGCTTGAAACGCGCCTATTTGAAGTCAGGTAAGTATCAAGCGTATCTCCCGATCTACCTTCATCATACCGACCAATAAGCCTCCTGCCCTTCTTCGCCAAATTATTCGAAAGACTAATTTTAAAAAGAATCCTTCCTTCCATATACTCCAGTAATGTACTTCCTAACACTCAATTTGACTTTCGTGCCTCTCACTCTACAACACACCAGCTGCACAGGTTAGTGGACGTCATATCTTTTTCTCTTGAAAAAAAAAAATACTGCTCCTGCGTGTTCCTCGCGTGTCCCAGGCGTTTGATCGTGTCTGGCATGAAGGACTGCTATATAAATTAAAACTTTTTCTTCCACCAACGTCTACCTGTTAATTAAATCATACTTAACCGACCGCCACTTTCAAGTTAGGTTTGGTTCATCTTACTCAAACATTGCAAACATTAATGCAGGAGTTCCCCAGGGTGGCATACTGTCACCAATTCTATATAATATATATGCCGCTGACCAACCTACCTCTCCAAACACAATAGTAGCTGAGTTTGCGGATGACAAGGCAATTATAGCAATACATGAAGACCCAATTTTAGCTTCCTTAAATCTTCAACATCACCTTAACTTAATGTCTAATTGGTACGATAAATGGAGAGTTAAAGTAAACCAACCAAAATCGCTACATACTACATTTACACTTAGACTTACCCCATGTCCCGAAGTTTCTTTAGCTGATATACCCATCCCTTCATCTCAATCAATAAAATACCTAGGGCTAACCATTGATCGGCGCCTCACTTGGGCATTACACGTAAGAGAAAAAAAACTTGCCTTAAACGCACGTCATCGGTTGCTTAAAACATTATTAACTAATAAACATACTAAATTAATTATAAAATTGCTCATTTACAAATCTTTAATAAAGCCTATGTGGACATATGGACTTCAACTCTAGGGCAATGCCAAGAAATCAAATCTTAATAAAATACAAACCACTCAAAACAAAATCCTTCGCTCCATCACCAATGCCCCACCTTATGTTTCCAATTTCTCTATCCACTCCGACTTAAATATTAAAACTATACATGAAGAAGCCAAAACGTTCTATAAACGTTTCTTCCATAAACTGCCCTCTCACTTAAAACCTCTTATATCTAGACTAGCAACTCACACGATTCCTGGAAACCCACCACGGCGACTAAAAAGAAACTGGTGTAGCGATCTTCTTAATGATTAACCAAAAAAAAAAAAAAATTTTAATTTAAAAATTTATATATACGATTTATATATAAATAAGCAAAAGGAAGTGCGATCACTGGATGGTTTGTTCCCTCACCCTATACATGTGAAATTACTTGTAGCACATATTCTTATTATGCCTAGGGCATAGATTGTATATTTCGAATTAAAAAAAAAAAAACTTATTTACAGACTAATATGATTTTTAAGTAAGCTTTTATATCCCTGTTCGACTATTGAATAAACAACAATAAATATTTAAAAGTTTTTCTTTAAATAAACTATAAATTGTAAATGGGTTAAATTTTTGTGAAACTTTTGTAAGGGAATGTTATTTTGTTGTATCTTTCAGATGATGTCACCTATATAATACCACACTATTGTTCAATGATATTATGTCGTTCAATCTTTTTCCTATAAAACATTTGGTTCACAACAAGCTAAAAAGTAATAATATATTGCTATGTGACGGTTTTGTAAATAGGTACTAGATACATTTTTTTGTTTTTGTCAAACGGTAAAACAACTACTATTTTTTTACGATTGATAGGCTATAGCCACGATTATTTATTTCAAAATTGAAATTTAAATTACATTGAACAAACAAAATTCATATGCGCTTATACAACTTTTATACTTTTTACACTGAAATCGCTATGACAGTAGCCGTTTAAAAGAATAAGAATCATTTAAGTTTTAAACAACGGCAGAACAGTATTCAAATATCTTAAGCATTGAAAAAAAAACAGACAATAATGAATTCTAAAAATTGTATATTGTTTTTATATTTGATTGTTCATTTGTATACAGCAAATGCAGGGATTTGCAAAAATCCGTCGGTAACATTTTTTTAATCTAATTATATGATTAAAAAAAAATGTAACTGTCTATAAATTGATTGATTAATATAATAGTAAAAATTCGAGTTTTCCAATGGCCACAGCTGACACGGACTTCATTTAATAAAAAAAAAATTCGAGACACATTAATTCTAAAACAGTAGTATTCACATTGTTTATTAAAAATCGTAATAATTTTAGGAACTAGCCAGACTTTATAGAAGGATTTTAAAACAATGCAATGTTGTTACCAGTACAACAGTGCATAATACAAGAAAACGTGATCAATGAATTTAATATTTCTACAAGAGATGAAAATAAGATACTTAGTTCCGTGTGGGGTTCGTTGAATAATAATAATAATTCATTAATTGATATTGTAAAATATATATGTGAAATGTGAAAACTAATAATTACTTCAGTGTTTTACATAAATAAATAGAAATTTATATCGATAGGTATTGGGTAGTGTGTTTTTCCAACATTTCTGAGGGTTATTTATACTATTATGAAAAAGGTGTCGGTAGAAAAAAAAAAAGTTTTTCAGCCGAAGTATTTTCTTTTCTCGTCGAAGTACCGAATAAATTTAGAGTAGTGGTGGAAATATAGATAATGAAATAGTACATTAACAAGCTAGTATCTAAGATGGCTAGTAAACACATCAAGTTTCTGGCTTATATATTAGTGTTTTCATAATATCTGGCCTTATTGAATATAATTAATATTGTTTATTTGGGTCATGGATAAGTAATAAATATTATATAACCTTATATGGTATTATAAGTGTACACTGAAGAAATCATGAGTAATATTTAAGTTGTTTATACAAGGACCAATTACGTCTGTAACCTAGATTGTATCGTATACAGGGTGATCCAACTAACGTAAGACACTCATTTTCTCTGAAAGTATGAATATTTTGCGAATTTTTTTTTTCCTAAAATTTTAGATACATATTTAGCTACATTTTTCAATATTTAGAAAAATTTTATCTTCAACCCTTATACGTTAAATAAGTACGAACCTCGTTTTTTCAAATGGGAACATATGTTTTAAATTCCATAAATATAAAGACAAAAAATCTAAAAAAATGTTAGCGTTTGAATTTTTAATTTTCATCCATTTGTTCGCTGTTTATGACTTTGTAAAGATTTGAATTTTTGTCTATATTTCTTAATAATTTCATTCGATTCGACAAAGACAAGTAGTTTTATTACGACGGTCATCACATCAAATATAATAATAATTTGATGTTAACGCATTCCGTATCATAATCAGGTATAATAAATAACCATACATTATTAGACGAAAGGTAGACTGTTACGGATAACGGACTTTACACTTTAACCTAATCTAGCTGGAGCTAGTCATTAGCTGGTTATCTCGGATAACAATCTAGTATCTAAACTATGCATCAGTTACCACGGAATAATCAAGTGACCAGTACCCATAATATATTTTATTATTTGTACAAAATCGCATTATATTTATTATTTGTACATAACCTCATCGCTAACAAATTTCGACTTCGAAGTTCACACGTTTTCCATTAGTGAAATGAGAAATTGCAAACTCAATTAAAAAATGTTAGTAAATTTACATTATATTTTATAGTAAATATGATAGCATGCTTATTGTAGTTATGTCATAACTCGTTATTTTATAATTGTTTAAATATATCAATTGATAATATTTGCTCTCGACTTTATTTTGACGTTACATTCTTGGACACACCATTAATTTAATAGGTAAGTGTATTAAAGTTTAATAGATAATTTAATACAATACGAATTCAATTAGCTTTTTTATTTTAGGTTGAATGCTTTTTTCCGAAAATCTTTTACCATTTAAAAATCAATGTTATCATGTCAGAAATATCTATGGCGTTGAGAATAGGCTATACCAATTACTATGGAAATGTCTTTTCAATTGGACCCAAGACTGAAGACCTTACAATTTTATATCAAGGTGTAAATTACAAATATAAAGCATTAATTTAATAGGTAAGTTTATTAGAGTTTAATGGGTAATTTAATACAGTACGATTTCAATTAGCTTTTTTAATTTAGGTTGAATGCTTTTTTACTGAAAATATTTCATCTTTTAAAAACCAATGTTATCATGTAAAATTGGTTTTGAGTATGACATATCAATTGCTATGGATATGTCTTTCCAATCGGACCCAAGACCTTACAATTATATATCAAGGTGTAAATTATAAGTATAAAACATTTATTTCTAATGTGACATTTTTTCATGTGAATGTATAATATCAACACTAAGCAATTTGAAAGAAAAGTGTGTTGTGTTAACTTAAAATAATTATTAATGCATGTATTTGTGTATGTGGGTTGATAATACTCATATACCCGTTTCATTTATTTTTAAAAATATCAGTAATTAATGTATGAATTTCATACTACTACATACAAGGAATCACTTCTTGATTATACCAATATTTATAATAATATGTAAGTATATTATTTGTATTTGATTAAACTTATCTAAGGTAGTTCAAATGTCTGCTTTCAGTTTAGTTATTTCTTACAATGATATAACCCATATATTGTGTGTCTGACATACATTACGGATATTTTATCATAAAGTTTTAGCTATAACTGACACAGGTATTTGGCTATCAAAGTTAAATTTTATATCAAATTAATTAATATACAATAATTCTCTCTTTAAAAAAGTAGTAATTCTATTAATTTGTATTTAATGAATTCAGTAAATCAATTAAATTATTTTTTTGAACTTGCCTAAGATAATTCTTATAGTTAATTTTATTTATTGAATTTTGATTTTGTTAGATTTGTTTAATTACCAACGATTGTAAAAAGAAAAAAAATTAAATCAGTATTATAGAAGTTGAACAATTTCAAATGTATAGATATTGTTTTTGTTTAATATTTTTGATTGAATATTTTCAAAATAGTAACATTTGTAATTTTTAAATTTATTGTTGTATTAATAATTAGTTTATGAAAATTTTATTAGTTAAATACTTATATTATCAGACAAAAGATTATTATTGTTCTTTAAATGTTATACTATACTATATATTTGTCGTTGAAATTTATCAACACAATTGTTTGACTATGTGTTATCAATGTTCAAATTTTGTAAAGTACACAGTAAAAATTAATAAAAATTGTTTTTTAACTCTTTAAAGTAGGAAAATTGTCGCATACGCATTACAGAAAATATTCTTTTAACCATTATTTGCATCATTTAAGGTAAACAAATTTTATTTTTAACAACTATGCATTATAAGTTAGTATAATTGATTTTATAATTATTTGTATTTATACATAAATATAGTATACATGTATGTATGTGTATAAAATCAGACAAACTTGTCGCGTACAAATTCCATAAAATTTAAATCCTTAAAAATGTGTTTTATTACAGAATAATTGTTAAATTTAGATACTACAATTTAGCTAAGGCTATTTTTGATTTAATATTGCCACTTTTACATAATCTTAGTAAAACGTACCCGTTATAATAGTTTAATAATGTCAATACTTTAATTTGTATAGTAAACAAGGAAATATCAAATAATGGTTTTCTTTTTAAATAACTAAAATCTATTAAGCTTTTAATTTTCTAGATATTAAATAGTGAACAAAATAATAAAAATAAGAAAATACTGATTATACATAAAATCAAAATTAGCAAATTCAACTGTAAAAGAATTAACTTTTCAATTTGAAATTTTTGAAACAGACATATTTTATTATAAAGGCTTTAGAATCACTATTATTATAACATTATACACCTTATAAGTTATAATAATAATTAGTAAGTACTAATAAAAAGATTAGAAACATATAAACTATTTAATTTAATAGTTATTAATAAAATAAAAAAGACAAGTTCTGATAATTTAATGTTTCTAATAAACATTATCCATGTCCCGAAGTTTCTTTAGCTGATATACCCATCCCTTCATCTCAATCAATAAAATACCTAGGGCTAACCATTGATCGGCGCCTCACTTGGGCATTACACGTAAGAGAAAAAAAACTTGCCTTAAACGCACGTCATCGGTTGCTTAAAACATTATTACCTAATAAACTTACTAAATTAATTATAAAATTGCTCATTTACAAATCCTTAATAAAGCCTATGTGGACATATGGACTTCAACTCTGGGACAATGCCAAGAAATCAAATCTTAATAAAATACAAACCACTTAAAACAAAATCCTTCACTCCATCACCAATGCCCCACCTTATGTTTCTAATTTCTCTATCCACTCCGACTTAAAAATTAAAACTATACATGAAGAAGCCAAAACGTTCTATAAACGTTTCTTCCATAAACTGTCCTCTCACCCAAAACCTCTTATATCTGGACTAGCAACTCACACGATTCCTGGAAACCCACCACGGCGACTAAAAAGAAACTGGTGTAGCGATCTTCTTAATGATTAACCAAAAAAAAAAAAAAATTTTAATTTAAAAATTTATATATACGATTTATATATAAATAAGCAAAAGGAAGTGCGATCACTGGATGGTTTGTTCCCTCACCCTATACATGTGAAATTACTTGTAGCACATATTCTTATTATGCCTAGGGCATAGATTGTATATTTCGAATTAAAAAAAAAAAAACTTATTTACAGACTAATATGATTTTTAAGTAAGCTTTTATATCCCTGTTCGACTATTGAATAAACAACAATAAATATTTAAAAGTTTTTCTTTAAATAAACTATAAATTGTAAATGGGTTAAATTTTTGTGAAACTTTTGTAAGGGAATGTTATTTTGTTGTATCTTTCAGATGATGTCACCTATATAATACCACACTATTGTTCAATGATATTATGTCGTTCAATCTTTTTCCTATAAAACATTTGGTTCACAACAAGCTAAAAAGTAATAATATATTGCTATGTGACGGTTTTGTAAATAGGTACTAGATACATTTTTTTGTTTTTGTCAAACGGTAAAACAACTACTATTTTTTTACGATTGATAGGCTATAGCCACGATTATTTATTTCAAAATTGAAATTTAAATTACATTGAACAAACAAAATTCATATGCGCTTATACAACTTTTATACTTTTTACACTGAAATCGCTATGACAGTAGCCGTTTAAAAGAATAAGAATCATTTAAGTTTTAAACAACGGCAGAACAGTATTCAAATATCTTAAGCATTGAAAAAAAAACAGACAATAATGAATTCTAAAAATTGTATATTGTTTTTATATTTGATTGTTCATTTGTATACAGCAAATGCAGGGATTTGCAAAAATCCGTCGGTAACATTTTTTTAATCTAATTATATGATTAAAAAAAAATGTAACTGTCTATAAATTGATTGATTAATATAATAGTAAAAATTCGAGTTTTCCAATGGCCACAGCTGACACGGACTTCATTTAATAAAAAAAAAATTCGAGACACATTAATTCTAAAACAGTAGTATTCACATTGTTTATTAAAAATCGTAATAATTTTAGGAACTAGCCAGACTTTATAGAAGGATTTTAAAACAATGCAATGTTGTTACCAGTACAACAGTGCATAATACAAGAAAACGTGATCAATGAATTTAATATTTCTACAAGAGATGAAAATAAGATACTTAGTTCCGTGTGGGGTTCGTTGAATAATAATAATAATTCATTAATTGATATTGTAAAATATATATGTGAAATGTGAAAACTAATAATTACTTCAGTGTTTTACATAAATAAATAGAAATTTATATCGATAGGTATTGGGTAGTGTGTTTTTCCAACATTTCTGAGGGTTATTTATACTATTATGAAAAAGGTGTCGGTAGAAAAAAAAAAAGTTTTTCAGCCGAAGTATTTTCTTTTCTCGTCGAAGTACCGAATAAATTTAGAGTAGTGGTGGAAATATAGATAATGAAATAGTACATTAACAAGCTAGTATCTAAGATGGCTAGTAAACACATCAAGTTTCTGGCTTATATATTAGTGTTTTCATAATATCTGGCCTTATTGAATATAATTAATATTGTTTATTTGGGTCATGGATAAGTAATAAATATTATATAACCTTATATGGTATTATAAGTGTACACTGAAGAAATCATGAGTAATATTTAAGTTGTTTATACAAGGACCAATTACGTCTGTAACCTAGATTGTATCGTATACAGGGTGATCCAACTAACGTAAGACACTCATTTTCTCTGAAAGTATGAATATTTTGCGAATTTTTTTTTTCCTAAAATTTTAGGTACATATTTAGCTACATTTTTCAATATTTAGAAAAATTTTATCTTCAACCCTTATACGTTAAATAAGTACGAACCTCGTTTTTTCAAATGGGAACATATGTTTTAAATTCCATAAATATAAAGACAAAAAATCTAAAAAAATGTTAGCGTTTGAATTTTTAATTTTCATCCATTTGTTCGCTGTTTATGACTTTGTAAAGATTTGAATTTTTGTCTATATTTCTTAATAATTTCATTCGATTCGACAAAGACAAGTAGTTTTATTACGACGGTCATCACATCAAATATAATAATAATTTGATGTTAACGCATTCCGTATCATAATCAGGTATAATAAATAACCATACATTATTAGACGAAAGGTAGACTGTTACGGATAACGGACTTTACACTTTAACCTAATCTAGCTGGAGCTAGTCATTAGCTGGTTATCTCGGATAACAATCTAGTATCTAAACTATGCATCAGTTACCACGGAATAATCAAGTGACCAGTACCCATAATATATTTTATTATTTGTACAAAATCGCATTATATTTATTATTTGTACATAACCTCATCGCTAACAAATTTCGACTTCGAAGTTCACACGTTTTCCATTAGTGAAATGAGAAATTGCAAACTCAATTAAAAAATGTTAGTAAATTTACATTATATTTTATAGTAAATATGATAGCATGCTTATTGTAGTTATGTCATAACTCGTTATTTTATAATTGTTTAAATATATCAATTGATAATATTTGCTCTCGACTTTATTTTGACGTTACATTCTTGGACACACCATTAATTTAATAGGTAAGTGTATTAAAGTTTAATAGATAATTTAATACAATACGAATTCAATTAGCTTTTTTATTTTAGGTTGAATGCTTTTTTCCGAAAATCTTTTACCATTTAAAAATCAATGTTATCATGTCAGAAATATCTATGGCGTTGAGAATAGGCTATACCAATTACTATGGAAATGTCTTTTCAATTGGACCCAAGACTGAAGACCTTACAATTTTATATCAAGGTGTAAATTACAAATATAAAGCATTAATTTAATAGGTAAGTTTATTAGAGTTTAATGGGTAATTTAATACAGTACGATTTCAATTAGCTTTTTTAATTTAGGTTGAATGCTTTTTTACTGAAAATATTTCATCTTTTAAAAACCAATGTTATCATGTAAAATTGGTTTTGAGTATGACATATCAATTGCTATGGATATGTCTTTCCAATCGGACCCAAGACCTTACAATTATATATCAAGGTGTAAATTATAAGTATAAAACATTTATTTCTAATGTGACATTTTTTCATGTGAATGTATAATATCAACACTAAGCAATTTGAAAGAAAAGTGTGTTGTGTTAACTTAAAATAATTATTAATGCATGTATTTGTGTATGTGGGTTGATAATACTCATATACCCGTTTCATTTATTTTTAAAAATATCAGTAATTAATGTATGAATTTCATACTACTACATACAAGGAATCACTTCTTGATTATACCAATATTTATAATAATATGTAAGTATATTATTTGTATTTGATTAAACTTATCTAAGGTAGTTCAAATGTCTGCTTTCAGTTTAGTTATTTCTTACAATGATATAACCCATATATTGTGTGTCTGACATACATTACGGATATTTTATCATAAAGTTTTAGCTATAACTGACACAGGTATTTGGCTATCAAAGTTAAATTTTATATCAAATTAATTAATATACAATAATTCTCTCTTTAAAAAAGTAGTAATTCTATTAATTTGTATTTAATGAATTCAGTAAATCAATTAAATTATTTTTTTGAACTTGCCTAAGATAATTCTTATAGTTAATTTTATTTATTGAATTTTGATTTTGTTAGATTTGTTTAATTACCAACGATTGTAAAAAGAAAAAAAATTAAATCAGTATTATAGAAGTTGAACAATTTCAAATGTATAGATATTGTTTTTGTTTAATATTTTTGATTGAATATTTTCAAAATAGTAACATTTGTAATTTTTAAATTTATTGTTGTATTAATAATTAGTTTATGAATATTTTATTAGTTAAATACTTATATTATCAGACAAAAGATTATTATTGTTCTTTAAATGTTATACTATACTATATATTTGTCGTTGAAATTTATCAACACAATTGTTTGACTATGTGTTATCAATGTTCAAATTTTGTAAAGTACACAGTAAAAATTAATAAAAATTGTTTTTTAACTCTTTAAAGTAGGAAAATTGTCGCATACGCATTACAGAAAATATTCTTTTAACCATTATTTGCATCATTTAAGGTAAACAAATTTTATTTTTAACAACTATGCATTATAAGTTAGTATAATTGATTTTATAATTATTTGTATTTATACATAAATATAGTATACATGTATGTATGTGTATAAAATCAGACAAACTTGTCGCGTACAAATTCCATAAAATTTAAATCCTTAAAAATGTGTTTTATTACAGAATAATTGTTAAATTTAGATACTACAATTTAGCTAAGGCTATTTTTGATTTAATATTGCCACTTTTACATAATCTTAGTAAAACGTACCCGTTATAATAGTTTAATAATGTCAATACTTTAATTTGTATAGTAAACAAGGAAATATCAAATAATGGTTTTCTTTTTAAATAACTAAAATCTATTAAGCTTTTAATTTTCTAGATATTAAATAGTGAACAAAATAATAAAAATAAGAAAATACTGATTATACATAAAATCAAAATTAGCAAATTCAACTGTAAAAGAATTAACTTTTCAATTTGAAATTTTTGAAACAGACATATTTTATTATAAAGGCTTTAGAATCACTATTATTATAACATTATACACCTTATAAGTTATAATAATAATTAGTAAGTACTAATAAAAAGATTAGAAACATATAAACTATTTAATTTAATAGTTATTAATAAAATAAAAAAGACAAGTTCTGATAATTTAATGTTTGCGTGACACAAACCCTAACTTTATTTCTGAAGTTTGAGTATCACTGTGTGATTTTGTGTAATTGAGTCACAAACTATTGATCCATATTTTTATTAACGGGATCTTAATAAGAAATAACTTGACTTAAAAAAAATGAAATATCAATGATGTTGAAAAATTGACCGTTACAGAAAAATCAAATCTTTTTTGCCAACAGGATGGGGAAAACAGAAAAAAAAGTAAAAGTACTTTGAATCACAGTTTGGAACTACCGGCTTAAATTAAGTCGATAATTAATACAATTTCAAACTTAACTGTGATTTTGTTGTAGGTTCCTAAAACACTGTTTACAAACATCTAGTCTTTAGACATCTTAATCATTTAAACACAGTCCACTTTATTGCATTATTTTTTATTAATAAAGTTGTTGTATAATAAAAAAAAGTTAGTTATAAATGTAAAATAAGCAACATTTTAAATATTTACTGTAGAATTAAAATAGTAAGCAAATTAAATCCAAAATTCCTTATTTAGTGTAAATTGTTTAAAACAATTATTTGAGCACAGAACATATTTTGAATAAATTGAACATAACTAAACAAATAATAGTAACGCTTCGCGACGCTTGTCCATTCAATGTATGCACTTATGAGATTGTAAGCCAAATTTTAAAGCTATTGTTTACTACCTATAAAAACTAAAAATTATAATTTTCAAATAGCATAATAATGATCTGTTGTACTGTGCTGTTACTTGTTGAATGTAGAACATAGATAGTAGAAAAATATGATAACTAATGATAATAATATTTTGTATTATCATCATAGCAGCAGTTATCAACCTACTTGTACCACGGTTTTTGATTGTTGTGGTTAAATAGCCATTCGTTAGCTGCTGTCAATATAGGTCTGTCAACCTACCTGTCATGACGGTGTGTTAGAAAAGTCGGTAATCTATAAATATGAAACGCTGGTCAAACAAAATATCACAAAACATTGTATTGTGTTTGGTTATCTGTGTACTCATCTATCGGACAATGCGATCATAAATAAGTATTTTATTGGCTCCCGGTCTTTAGAATACCAAAGAAATATAACAATATTTAAGAGAAAATGTAATATCTTTACAAAGTCATAGCTAACGACTAGATGGATAAAAATTAATAATTCAAACGATAACATATTTTAAAATTTTTTGCCTACAAATTTATGGAATTAAAAACATATGTTGCCATTTGAAAACGTGAACTTAGACCCTTTTTATCGTATAAGGGATGAAAATAAAAATTTTCGAAGCATTGAAAAATATAGTAAAACTTATACCTAAAAGAATAGGAAAAAATGTTTTTTCAAAATATTCATATTTTCCGAGAAAATGAGTGTCTTACGTTAGTTGGATCACCCTGTATAAGACATAGTATTAAGGTGTTGGATTTACCATTCTATTACGGCTGCTGTTATAATTGAAACGTACGTTGTATATATATATTATTCTCTATACTGTGTGTGTTTTTATATTTAATAGTATTGTGTTAAACATATTATTGTTGTGTTTTATTTTCTACTAAAATACTAACTTCCACCAAGTTATACAGGCGTATATCGCAATAGGCCTTAAGCAATTCATAGGAAATATGACCTGTTAAATTACATTGAATTTATTTTTCAGTTATAATTTGATCGTTGTGAATACAACGTATCCCTTATCTCTAATCTCTTATCAGATAAAAACGTAACTTTTTTTATGTAACGCTTTTTTCGATTACGTGCCAAAGCTAAATCCCAACCCCATTCCCACCCACAAGTATTTCGTGACAAGTTTTTCATGACAAGTATTACCAAAAAAGTCTACACGGAGATGGGGTTTGTGGTCGGAAAGGTATGGGAGTGGAAATAGGGTTTGGGTTGGGAATGGGGTTGGAGATGGGGTTGCGGATGGGGTGGGAATAGGGTTGGGGGTGGTAATTAGCTCTGGCACATAATTGAAAGAAGTGTTACTAAAATCAGCCATTTTTCAGCCGAGTCTGCAACCACGAAAGAGCATTTTCATGTCTTGTTGAAGTACCGAATAAATTTAGAGTAGTGGTGGAATTATAGATAATGATATAGTATATTAACGAGTGGTAACAAGCTAGTATAATAAAACGTCAAGTTTTTGGCTAAAATTGTAGTGTTTATTGCTGGCTTAAAAAAATTCATAGAGAAATTGGGCTCTTAAACTGTTTTGAATTTATTATTTAGTTCTAATTTGAACGTTGAACGTACAACATATTTCTTATCTCATATCAGTTAACAGCGTAACAGATTAATATTCGAAATAGATCCGAAATGGTCATTCCGATAATTGTCTTTCGTCGTCGCTTCGTAGTTTTCGTTACATTGCGGCGCGTATTAGCGTAACGCTTTTTTGGTAACACTTTTTTTCGGTTATTTACTGGCTAAATCTCACCCTTATCTCCTACACCCTATTCCACTCCCGTCCCCAACCCTTTCGCTTTTTTCGTTACGCTCTTTTGGTAACGCTTTTATGGTAACGCTTTTTTCGGTTATGTGCCAAAGCTAAGACATGAAAATGTCAAAAAAGCGTTACGCTGTTATCTGATAAGAGATAAGAGATATGTTGTGAGTTCAACGTTCAAATTAGAACTAAATGATAAATTCAAAATAGTTTAAAGGCCCAAATTCTCTATGAGTTGTTTTAATCCAGATATTAAAAACTACAATATTAATGTTATAATATACTAGCCACCTTAGATACTAGCTTGTTACTGCTTGTTAATATACTATATCAGTATCAATAATTCCACTACTACTCTAAATTTATCCCGGTACTTCAACGAGACATGTAAATGCTCTTTCGTGGTTTTTCGTGTAATAATTATTGGAGTATTCATTTAACGACATTTCAAAAGAATTTTTTTTGTCAACGCGATTGTAGTTTGTTTGAAAACTGAACTCCATCCGTTACAGCATGTTATAGTTTTATAAATTTTAATGTGAATAATTTTTTAACGCTTTCTAGATACTACAATGTCACAGCAGGAATTTATAACAACAATAACATCAAGACTTACTTTTTGCGTAATTATGATTTTTTCCTATCCTAACATATGATATAATTATAAAAAAAATTGTTTTATGATTTTAGCAACTCACTAATATTTATAAAGATATCAACACAAACTGTCCAGTTAACAAGAAAGCAGTTCAAGAGTATTTACTGAAGACAAAAGACATTTATAAACTTAATGTAGATGAAATCGAAGTGATAACTGGACCATTGAAAGGTACGTAGACAATCTTGTTTGTCGTTCCGGGTGGAATCTTGCAACTCAAATTTCGAGCACTTTCCGATTAGCTATCCGGCTGAAACTTTCAGGGTAGCTCACACTTCGATGACACTGCATTATTAACCCACAAGAAGTTGAAAATTCCAACCCTTAGGGGGTTAAAATGAGGTCGATTTCTTGTCCGTCGTTCCAGTTGGAATCTTGCAATTCAAAAAAGACTTATTTCTCACCCGCCAGCAAAAATTATGCGTGGTGTGT